CTCTGGCTGAAGAGAAGCAACTGGGCATTTGTTTGCACACCATCTCAATTTCTGTCCTTGATTCCTCTCAAGAGCCTTCTTATAAACCCTCCTGAAGTACACAAAAGGCTAGTGCCACACACTATTTACTCAGTGTCAGGTGAGGAGGGTCACTGGCCACAGGGAAAGACTGAACACATATTCCTCATCTACACAGAAAGTAGCACAAGCTTCCCATATCTGGACTAAGACAGATTAGCAGTGACAGTTTGAATGACCAGAGCCCGCAGCCAAACGTGCGCGTTGCATTCCCTCCTTGGGAACCAGAATTATTAAAACTTTCTCCAAAATCAAACCCACTCTTCTGCAAAAATTAAATTCTGTCTCTGAAGGAAAGAAAAAATTGTCTCTGGGCATTTAGTTGGGCAGAAGCTTTCCCACATCTCTGTCCCTTTGCTGTGATTTCTACCTGCCCTTACTGGTGCAATGCACAGTCTGTGTCTTGCAGGGTACAGTCTTATGACTTCTGAGGACACCGTATTCACAGTGGTATTCCTCTCTATTTCCAAAAAGACCTGTGATTCCTCACCCAGGCTAGTCTGATATATATATATATATAGATATAGATATTGATATATATATATATATATAAATAAATTAGGAAGCTGTTAAAAAAAGTGCTTAATTCATTTAAAGACAAATTTAAAAATTAAATGTTTTTAGGCAGTTTCTTTTTACAGCATCTGTTCTGAGGCTGAGCTTCCTTTTCACTGGAAAATTCAGTTTAATCTGGACCTTTGATTTGGTTTATTTATTCTTTTGACACCTTTGAAGTCATAGCAGTAATCAGTAGCACTGCAGTTTCAGTTCCTTTAAGAAACCAGGTAAAGCACAGACTAGCAGGGACTGATGATTTGCAATTACTTTATTCTGTTTAGTTGCTCTGAGAAGATTCCTTTTCATGTTAACAGACATCAGAGGTCCTGATTTATCTGAAACCCACTAAAAATACTCCTTTAAATTCAGAGAACACTGCTGCAAACATGACCTCTCCTGTGTTTCTGATACTATCACCAACAAAATGGATATTACAGGCTATTCTTCCCAGACTCTCAGCTCTGAGCTGTACTACTAGAAGCAATAGCACTGTATTTATTTATGCTTCATGTTCTCTGGATCTTTTTCCTGTTCCATCCAATGGGAAAATTATTAATGACGTTGACAATCTTGGAATCAAAAGATAGAGTGCTTCTCTTGATACAAACATACATAAGGTGACAAGCCTTGCCTCAGTGGCATCAATGCTTGTGAAGATGCTTTCTCCAAAATAATGAGCTGTCAAAGCTTCACTGCAATTTGCATTTGTGTTAGTAGTGAAGAAATCCAGTGCTTTTTTTTCCTTGTGGAATGACAGTGCTAAATTGTTACTTTTGCTTACTGAGTATGAAAATTTACTGAAATGACAGTAAAGTGGGAAAAGTAAACAGCATTTTTTCAGGTCACAACAGCACTTGGATTTATTGTTAGTGCACATTAACAATTAAATCACAGAAATGAAACGAAAAAAAGTGTGTCACACTTTACTCTGTGTAGCCTCCCTTGAAACCAACACACTCCTGAACCTCCAGAACAAGCTGCTGCTTTGTGGCAGAACAAGTGTAGTACCACACCTTGTGATGGCTGTTGTCTTGTGATCATTCACGTAATGGAGAAAGACTTTGATTTTTTTTTTATCCTCGGGGTGGTAGAATTTAATGAGAAATGGATTTTGAAATATGCTTGAACAACCACAGAACTTTTGAAAACACTGTCTAGGTATCTTACATGACTGCAGCTGCCCATCTGTGGTACTGTATATTTCCTCTCATGTTACACATCTGAAGTATTACTGTCATCAAATACCACAGAGAAAACAGGCAGTATTATTGAAATGTATTTGATTTCTGGATCTTTACCTTCCCTTTTATTCTAAACACTGCTTTTTTCCATGTTAGAGGATATTTGCTCCAACATCAACATGCTTTTCAATTCCAGTGAACATTTGCCTGTTATAAACTTCTGCATGAAATAATAACATTAACATTCAGCAGCAGTACAAGACATCGCATGTGTATCTTCCTGTCCTGTTGTAGTATGGAATATGAGACTTTGCTAGAATTACTACCTTAAGATCACCCTAATAAAAGATTTCAATATTGAGGAGAAGCAGTATGACACAGCACCTAGTGAATACTGGGTTTGTTATGCTCGCCATGGTCTTCACAGGTTTACACTACAAAATGCTCCCCAAGGGCAAAACAAGTTTTGGGTCTGCTCCCGTGCCTGTGTGTGGAAGGAAGATACTGCAGGCACTCCTAAGGGCATGCTGCAGTTGTTTTGTGGGAGGAAAGATGCTCTGTCCAAGCATCAGCAGGAGGGGTGACCCTGGAGTGCCAATTCAGAAGCACGGTTAGAAATTAGTTTTCTTTTCTTCTCTGGATAACTGTATGCTGAGCCTGTCAGTAAAATTTGCCTTGTCTACAAGGACGTCATTTACAACTGCCTCCTCTAAGATGGCCAGCCGGTAGAAGAAGCCAATCTGCAGCTCCAGGTCTATAGAGACAGGAAGGTGACAGGTCTGTGCCGTGTTCATTTTCATGTCAGTGCTGGTATGTGACTGTGAACAACACAAAATTCCTGTCTGCAACAGAGATTGTCAACAACTCCAGGGACTTCTGGGTCCAATATGCTCTTGGAAATCTTGTAACTCTAGGAAGTATGCAAGGCAAGGCTGCTGTAGCACTGCTTCCAGCATTAGCCTAGAAATGGTATGTAATAAGTGAAAATATGAAAAAAAAAAACAGTTTCAGAAAGATGTCAGCCCTTCCAAGACAACCTTGAGAGACTAACATGCTTGAATACAAGTGCCTGTTGGCATTTGAGTAAGACTGAGTTGTTTTTTTTTAAATCCAAAGATGCTTGAAAAGTAATTTTTTTTTTTTTAGCTCAGCCCAAAGAAAAAAGAAAAACGGAGTCTGTTCAGCATGGATTTAGTGCCAGGCATTGGTTTCACTGTCACTGAAGACAATGCCAGTTAAAGTCAGCTTAAGAACAAAGTCCTGATTTGGACAGACTGATCCATTGGGGTCCTTGCTGAGAACGACTTTCAAGTTAAGCAGGAGCTTTGAAGTCCGTGGAAAGCAGCAATGAAATCTAACCCTGCGCTGCATGCGTTGAACACATCTTGTGAACTCGGGCAGCTTTGGGTGAACTTAGACCCTTCTCTGAGATGGAAGATAAAATAATGTTAACAGCTAGAGCAAATCCTGGGTTCAGGATTTGACCCTCAGGGAGCTTTGGCTGTTGACTCCAGCACCATTGTGACTGCAGCTGCAAGGCTGGCAGATGTAACAGCAAACTTGGATGCTATTGGCACCATCAATAGCATAATTCAGCAGCACTGATTACCCCTGAGTTTTGGCTTAAACCTAGAGACACCTGAGTAACGTGGGGTTTTTTTTAGGTAGAGAAGCCTAGCTGAATTAAAGGGGCTGCAAAAGAGCTGGAGAGGGGGTTTTGACAAGGACGTAACACAGAGTGACAGGACGAGGGGCAGCAGCTTCAAAATACCAGAGGGCAGGGTTGGATGGGATATTGGGAGGAAATCCTTGACTGTGAGGATGATGAAGCCCTGGCACAGGTTCCCCAGAGAGGCTGTGGTTGCCCCATCCCTGGAAAAGCTCAAGGCCATGCTTGATGAGGGTTGGAGCAGCCTGGTCTGGTAGAAGGTGTCCCTGCCCATGACAGGGGATGGAACGAGATTTTCTTTAAGGTCCCTTCTGACTCAAACCGTTCTGTGATTCAGACCAGGATACAGCAGTCACATCTCCAGTTACAGACTAGGAACTACCTAACACAGACTTTTTCTACTTTTTCTGTCACAATTCAAACACACAAAAATTGAAAAACTCCAAACCCACAGAAATTAGACGCAGGCTGTGGTCTGTATTTGTTTGTGCAAAGCAGATTCACTTGGCAATGTTTTTTTCTATTTACATTTTGAAAGCAAAGTTGAGCTACCTCTTTTTACATAAAACAACTATTTATCCTGTACTTAAAAGGTAGCTTGTACCATTCCACTTATGACTTCCCTTGCACAGGCTTTACAGAATGCAGCATTTTCTTCCAGCTCTTTTACCTGAAGATGATTCCTGACATCAAACACACAGTTTCAAAATACTGTACCTATTATCTTCCTCCAGAGTGTGTAACACTAAGTTGCCATCTTTGCATGATAGAAAGTTTAGCTCCTGATGCTACTTCCACTTGTGCCTGCCTAAGAGTTTTGTCAAACACAGAATTCCATTTCTACTATTTTAGCTACACAATCAAACAAAAAGGATGGGCTGCAGTTTCCACTACTTTAGTTAGGCAACTCGAATTAGCAAAAATCTGATCTAGTAGCAACGCATGAACTATAAGTGAAACTGAACTACAGAAAATCCTGGCGCTTTAGCTCGATGCAAAGTCAAGTTACACTGAACAACTTCCCTGAGAAGTGTCACCTGGTGCCCAACCTGCAGCGCCCATACACAGACCACAGCATTAAGACCAATAACAAACACTCGGAAAGCCGTTCGGGGCTTTTCGGTTTGCCTTTTTTTTTTCTTTCCCCCTTAACAACGTTTTCTTGATATGCAAAGCATGTCCCGGACCCCGCTTCTGCTCTCGGCTCTACAACTTATCGAAGTGTATGGCTTCAGGCTAACAACTTCGCTTATGCCACCGAGTTCTTGTCTGCCTTTCCACAGAGAGAATGCTTCTCCCCGGCCACCCCGGGGCTGAAGCGGAACGGGGTGCTAAAGGAGGGAGGGACCGAAGAGCGACGTCGGCGGCCCCGGGGTCCGAGCGCTTCTCCCTCGGTCAGAGTCCTCCCGCGGAGACCCCTGCCCGGCTCCGACGCCCGTCCTTCCCGCAGCGTCCCCCGGGGCGCTGCCCTGCTGCCCTGCGCTGTCTCCCTCCCCGTGTCCCCGGCGCCTTACCAGGCTCCGCCGGGGGAACTCGCCCAGCACGATGCTGACCACCGGGATGCGCAGCGCCGCCGAGACGAAGTCCAGCTCCAGCATCTCCCCACGGCTCTGCGGGAAGGCGAGGATGGCTGAGACCCCCTGCACCACCACGGTGTGGCAGAGACTCTGCAGGAAGGAGACGGGGTCGTTGCTCCAGGAGGCGCTGGCTGAAGAGAAGGGGAAGAGGGGCAGGTCGCCCAGCCCCGCCTCGATCGCCATCACCACCTCCAGGGACAGGTTGTAGGGCAGCAGCCCGGGCACGCCGTTCAGGTTGGCCACGGCCAGCAGCAGCGCGTCCCGCGGCGAGGGGGGCGGCCGCCGCTGCCCCCCACCGCCCCCCGCCCGCCGGCCCCGCGCCCGCCCGACGCCTCCCCGGGCCAGGCGGCGGCGGCGGGGGCGGCCCGGGGCTGCAGGTGGGTGGCCCCCACTCGCACCGTGTGCCCGATGCGCCGCAGGATCTGGCAGGGCTGCGGGTGGGACGCGGAGCCGGGCACCGCCGCCAGCACCAGGGCGCAGGGCGGCAGCAGCAGCAGGCACGCCCGGCCCAGGACCCCGCACACCCCCGGCCGACACATGGCCGGGAGCCGCCCGCCTCGCCCCCGCCCCGGGGCTGCGGGGAGGCTCAGCCCCCGGACCGCCCCCCTCGGTTCCGCGGGGCCGGGGAGGACCCCGACCCCGCCGCTCGCCCCGCCCGGCTACCCCGCCGGCAGTGGGATGCTGCCCTGCCCGGCTCCCGCTGCCCGGCCGCTCCTCCGCAGCCCGGGCGGGCTCTGCGCGGCTCAGTTCCCCGCTCTTCGCTCCGAGCCCGCCGGCGCGCCCCTGCCCGGCTCCCCGTCGCTGCTCCGCGCTCACGGCTCCGCTCCCCGCCTCGCAGCGTCTCCGCCCTGCGATTCCGGCCCGGCTCCCTGCGCCAGCCCACTGCCCTTGCCCCCCCGCAGCCCTCGGAGCGCTCCCCGCGGCTCCGGAGCCGGGCAAAGTTGGCGGTGCGGCTGCGGGCGGTCGCTGGGCTGCGCTGCGCTCCCGCCGGGAGGGACGGCGAGCGCCGGCCCCGCTCGGCTCCTCCCCGGGCCGCCCAGGGGAGGAAGGGGCTTGGGGGGCCGCGCCTTTGCACGCCCGGGGGAGCGTCCCGGGACAGCCCCTGCGGAGCCCTCGGTCCGCTGCTGCCGCGGGGCACCCCCCGAGCCGCGGAACAGTTTTACCTGTCCCAAGGGCTGCGAACCGAAGGTGGGGGTTCGGTTCCCCCTCCGACGGAGGGGGAGCCGTGTCTACCGCTGCCGCTTGTTGTGGAAAGCAGCGCTGGAGGTGCCCGGTGCCTTCCCTTGCGCTGCTGCTTCAAACGGAACCATTTTCCGACATGTGGGACCCGAAACCCTGATTCCGCAAACCTGGGGCACTGCCTAACATGGCTTTTAGGACAGAACGCCCTTGTCCTAAGGAAAAACAGGGCAGAGCTGAGATGGGCATTTGTGTGCGCGTCTGAAAGATCAGGGAAATCCCCGTCCGTGTTTTAGTTCTGGTAGATGGGTTTAATCCGGGGCTGTGGGAGCCATGCGGACCCCAGGTCTAAGACTCTAATATTGGATTTGGGGCACTGACACGTTCCACGTCCTGTGGTGGATCGCCAGGATCTCAGAGGAATCCCTCTCCGCAGCCACGCGGAGGAAGTCATCTCACGGGTCTCCTCGGCAGCGAGGCGGAGGCTGCCGGCTTGAATTCACCTGGATGTGTTTTCTGCCCGTGGGACTCCTGTCATCTGTCCCTGTTTGAGTCCTGGGCACAGTACAGTGTCCTGCTGTCCTGCATGGAAGGATGACTTGAGACATTCACTCCTGGAGTGTTTAGAAATCTTTTGGCAACTCCTCCAGCAGTTTATCCTGACCTAGTGTTTTAACCTAAGACCTTCTCTGAATGTTAACCTTCTTTCCCCTTTCTTTGAGGTTTATCTTCAGAGATATTTATGAAGAAAAAAAAATAATAGAATCACAGAATGGTTTGGGTTATAAAGGACCTTTAAAGGCCATCTACTCAAACCCTCCTGGCATAAGTGGAACATCTTCAAGTAGGTTGGGCTGCTCAAAGCCCCATTCAGCCTGACCTTGACTATTCCCATGGGTGGGGCAGTCACCCTGTCTCTGGACAACCTCTGAAAATGTTTCACCACCCTTGCTGAAAAAAATTTGTTGTCCTCCTTTGGTTTTTCTTCCATTGGTATACACAAAATCTGCATAGAAATAAATGCTTCCCATCATGCTGTATGAAAGAGGAGGTCGCTGCGTCCCAACAGGTCTGAACTGTGTGTTTTCTGATTTAAATTCATCTTTCTTGAGTGGGGATCACCAGGGGTGTACAAAGTATTCAAAGTAAGGTCTTACCCAGGTCTTGGGCAGTCATGCTGCTGTTTCTCTGTCTTGCATGTCCTTTTCCCCATCATGTCCTTATCCCCAGCATGCTGAGGTCACACCAGCCTGCTGTTACCTTCCCAGTGTCCTGCAAAGCTAGTGTTTCTCTCACACGGCTCTAAATTGGTACAAGGTTGCAAAATTGGTTGCCAGCATGGAAAAGTACAGATGTCAGCATGGTGGTCTGTAGGCCAAGAGTGCACCATGTTCTACAGGTAGAGGTGAGCTGATAGCGTGTCCAAGAGTTAGCAACAATTTTCTATCTCCCCTTTTCTTTTTCCTTTTTTCTTTTAGTCTTGTAATCATATCTTCTTGTCTGGTCAGCCTGGCTTCTTCCTGTCACTTTTCCTCATTTTCTTTAAAGGAATGTATGGATTGTGTTAACACAGGTGTTCCAAGTCTCCTCTGTTAGCAATAAGAAATTATTGGCTGGGAGAATTGGCTTTGGGTATAGTAAATCTAACACAATGTGTAGAAAACTTTTCTTTTTTCCTGAGCCACAGGAATTACCTTTCAGTCAGTGAGAAAGAGATCATTTGAGATTTGTACAGCTCCAGAGATGTTGTCTTTATCTGCATCCTGTTTTTTGGGGTTGAAAAAAAAAAAAAAAGAAAAACAAACAACTGGTAAAACATAAATTTTCTGCTCAGTAGTTAGATAATTAGTAGTTTTCATGTGGGAATTATTTTTATAAGAAATGGTGACTCTTCTGTGTCTTAACAGACTTCCCTAAATTGTCATTCATTTAAAACTTCATTATATGAGCAAATCTTTCTTTGTCTTTTGAGCACAGGTGACACTAATTTAAAAAAACACATGCTTCAGGAAAGGTAATCAGCCTTATTATTGAAAGAACTCTGAAAATTATACTAGAAATCAATTAATAAAGTGAAATAATTCAATTTTTTTTTTGTTTGCTTGTCATTTTTCTAATGAGTTTCTAGTTTGTTTAGGTTTTTTTTTGTTTTATTGGGGTTTTTGTTTGCTTGTTTGTTTATCATTTGTGGGTAATTTATGACCAGACTGTGATATGGTGTTTTTTTTTTTTTTGGTCATCAGTACTACTCTGGGGATTATGGCTGTAAAGAATTTGTGCTCTGGATCCAGTTTTGAGCAAGTCATAACAAGCAGTCACTGTTAGAAACCTGAACTGTACAGAGTCATCAAACTTTTCTTTGTAATGCTTGTGACTCAAATGGCTCTACATCTTGAAAGCATCATTTCAGCTTGATTATTTATAGCAATAAATAAATTATGAATTTGTTTTCTCTTACATTTGTGTTTGTTTTTACTCTTTGTTCTAATATTTCTGTTAATAAAATTCTCTAAAATGTCCTTGATATAACAAAGTGCTTGAACACAGACTTTGTTTTTCAGAAGGCATTAAGTATTCCATGAGTACTGCTCTGTGAGAGGCTGGAGTATTTCCAGAAAGTGCCCTGAGAAAGGATATAAATGCCACCAAAGTTTATATATTTGGAAAGTTGTGTCATTATTTTTTCTGCTTTTTTTTTCATAAATATTCATGTGCAAAAGATCACAATTGTTTTAGTCTAATAAAATACTTGGAGAGTGCTCAAATCAGTTGCACCCTGCTTTTTAGAAGTACTGCAGTCCCTTCCAGGGCTGAATAAAATGCAGAATATAATTTTTGACAGAGTTGTTGACTTTTTTCAACTTCATGCTAAGAACTGGCTGCCTTCAACACTCCTCCCTCATTTTCCATTTCTCACGGTGATTGCTGCCATAGGAATGTCCATTCTGCTCTCTTTTTTTGGTGTTAGTTATTCAACTGAAACAGGACCAAGCAAGTGGATTCACCTCCTGTGAGCTGGTTGTCACCCTGTGTAACCATGAGCAGAGCAGTGATGGTGGCACTGATTGCTGGAGAACTGTGGCCACAGAATTTATCCATTCTTGATCTCTGTCTGAGCATCACAGCTAGAGCTGGTGAAAGCCCCTCAGCAATGAAAAATGCAGCAGGGAAATGGGATTAAAATCACCACTTGTATTTCTCTTGCTGCTCTTTCCGCTTGCTTGGCTCACTGTCATTTCTTTGAAGTAGGGTTGGTTTGTTTGCTTTCTGGGCTGCAGAACATTTGTCCTGTGTGTATCACAGTGACCTTCTACAAAGCTTTTTTCCTCTGAGCAACTGGGCTAGCTTAGAAATAGGTTATCACAGTCCTTCTGTCCAGCTCTGTGCTGTTCTCCTCCCATTGCTGAAAAAAAACCCCCAAGGCCTTGTGATATTACTTAAATTCATATTCATCTGCCTCTTTTTTGACTGTTCACGTCTTCTAAAAGGCCCAAGTCACAAGCTGATTTCAAAATGCTATGTTTTTCATTTGAATTGCCACTTGAAGGGAAAAAAAATAGTCATCTGGACCTTCCTTACTTTCTGTCCTCCACATTCTTTCACCAGCCAGGAAAAATAAATTTGCAAACACTTTCAGATATCTAAAACAGCATTAAGGGTGTTGAGCGTTATGTTTGAAAAGCTTCATGATGCTGTGGTGGATCATCAGTGCACTGTCTGCTCCAGCCTTACTGTGGGATGGTTGCCGATTCCTGAAGGAGTCAGGGAAGGGCTGAAGCTTACTATGTGCAGCACATGTTGTGCTCATTCTGCGTTATCTTTGCAGATGGAGATCTGCATGGCTGGCATCACGAAAGGCTGAGCTGGCTGTGGGGGGAGGTCCTGCGAAGATAAGATGTGAAGAGCAGAACAAGGCTGTGTGACTGAAAATTTGAAGAACAGCACGGCCAAAAAGTGAGTTTTGCCTTTTAAAGTTCTCATCCCTGCATACACTAATAATCTTCATGAGGTAAGTGCTACCACATGTATGAATAAACTACTCAGCTGCCCACCCTGATCCTGCCATTTGTCAGATGGCGAGGGGGTTAAGTTTGGGCTGTATGTCAGGAGGGTGGAAATTTCACCTAGTTAGGAGGGAGACCAAAACCAAACCAGATGGAGACAGATGACTGGTTACTCTGCTGTCTCTTCTCTCAGGGGAGGACACCTTCTTGGTCAGCTTCTGTGTAGGACTACTATTACCCAGGTTAATACAATATTATGGTTTTTATTAGAGTTCTCTCACAGCTGGTATGTTCATCCATGGCAGTTCCAAATCGTTATTTCTGTTCTTTCAATAAACTGCGCTATTTGTGAATCTGTGATCATGACTGTTCCTACTGAATGTG